CTTTTCCATTTGCTTCTTCAGCTTCCTCCTCTTGTTTCTCCTCTTCCTCTTCTTCCTCTCTCTCCTTCTCTTCTCCCCCCTCCTCCTCCTCTTTCTCATCTGCCATCTCTTCCTCCTCTTTCTCTTCCTCCTCCACCTGTTCTCCCTCCTCCTCCTCTTCCTCCTCTTCCTCCTGAGGCGGTCTGGCCTCAGCCTGCTGTGCTCGGCTTGCAGATATCACGTCCTCAGTGGGCAGCGATGATGAGAACAGGCGGGAGCTCAGCAGGTACGGTGCCGCAGAGCTCAGCTGAGACGRCGCGGAGACCTGGACTCTCCCGTAGGACGGAGCACTGCTCACGGCCTGGGAGTAAACGGTGTAATGTCCCGGTCTTTCCACACTCAGACGATCCTCCTCTCCTTCCAGGAGCTTCCTAAAAAAAGGAGGCACACACAGAGACACACGTGAATCCCACAATTGCAGATTTAGTGCACAAAACACCAGAATGCTGTCAACGCAAAAAGCACCTGTAAGCTGCGATTTCGATGTCCAGGGCCATTTTTACATTCAAAAGGTCCTGATAATCCTTTAAGTAACGAGCCATGTCGTTCTTGTTGGCCCGTACTTCTTCCTCCAGGTTACCGATTGCGTCCTGAAAAAAGGGAAACACAAAAGTGCAACATGTTCAAAAAGTACATCTTTTCTGGAAATAACTTGAAACTCAAACATAGTTTTCATGGATATTTGAAATCTGTTTCTCTCTATCATTCCCTTGTTTACCTGCAGTGCAGAGATCTCATCGCTCTGTTTCTCCTCCACTTCCTGCAGCTGGTTTTCCAGAGCTTGGATCATCTCGCGGCAGGCATCGATCTCCAGCGTTCTGGCTTTCAGCAGTCTGCGGTACTCTCCAGCTTCGTCCTTGGCGCTGCGGGCGCTCTCCGTGTTGCGAGTGGAGCCTACGGTCATCACGCTCATCTTGTTGCAGAACCATTCTTCGGCTGCTTGAAGGTTRCGGTGGGCCAGCTTCTCATACTGCCCTCGGATGTCCCGAAGGGCGGAGGATAGGTCCGGTTTGGAGACCTCCATCCCCACCGACACCTCCACGCTGTACTGAACCTGGGCCTGCAGGTCTGCTATCTCGCTCTCGCAGAGTCGCTTCAGGAAGGCCAGCTCATCCAGCAGGGTCTCCACTCTTTTGTCGAGCTCGGCCTGGTCCAGGGCGGCATCGTCTGCTCCCTTTCTGGCGTCCATGAGCCGCCCCTCTGCTTCCTCTCTGCCAAGAGCCTCGTCCTCGTAGCGCTTTTGCAGGCTCTTCAGCACGTCCTCCATCTCGTCCCTGTGGTCCTGCGCCGCCTGCTTCTCGTGGCGGGCCTCATCGACAACAGCTCGGAGCTGGCGGATCTCGTGCTCATAGAGGGCCCGAAGGTTGGAGGGCTCGGTCTGCTTCTGCCTGAGCAGCAGCAGCTCGGTCTCCAGCAACTTGTTCTGCTGCTCCAATTCATGGACCCTCTCAATGAAGCTTGCGAAGCGGTCGTTCAGGTCCTGGAGCTCAGCCTTCTCCTGGGTCCTTAAGGTTTTGAACTCGGAGCTTACTTGGACTGCCTGGTCAAGGCGGAGCTCAGGGGCAGCTGCAGCAGGAAGCACGGTGGAGTAGCCCGAAGCCACTCGGGTGGATGTAGGATAACTCCTGCGGGAGGAAATGTAGGAAGGTACAGGAGCAGAGTGGGTGGAGTAAGCAGACCTAGATCCAATTCCTCCTCCTGCTCCATATCCTGCACTGCGAACGACTACTCTCCTCTTGAAAGTGGGCAGGTAGGGGTCGAAGCCTGTCGAAGCCATGACTTGAGAGATGGGCTGCTTTGTTTCAGGGAATGTAGCTGGGTTGACTGCACAGTGAATCTGCATTACTCAGGCTTTTATACAGCCTGTAATGACTGTGACGTAAGCTTTTTTTTTTCTTTGCTACCATGCTGACAGAAAGAACTGATTATGGCCCCTGCCAGCCAGTCGCTCATACCCAAGGGAGGAATGGGGAGGGATCGGATGAGTGCTGAGGCGGGGGAGGCGAGGGATAAGCAAAAAGGAGCTGCAACAGACTGGGTCACTGAGGACAAAACAGTATATGATTACACCTAAAACTGCAACCGAAGATGCAGTTTGGCGCATAAAATGCTAACAAAGACGACGCTGATTTGCATCAAACTAACAGCTGAATGCAGGGATGGAGGAAATCACATGTTCTTTAGGATGATGTAACTGTGCACCATTTTGTATTCAACACCTTAGTTGRAAAAAACGTTATTAATAATAGCATTAAGATCTGTTTATGAGTTTKAAAATGTGTCAGAATAAATTAAAGCAAGAAGACAAAATAAAAGAGCAGTACCTTCAATTTCAGGGAAAGTTCATAGCAGATCGCAGATGGAAGTTCTCCCTCTGCTGGTAAGATCTTTAAACTGCATGGGAACAAATGATAAATCTAATATTTTGACAATATTACATATGTCTTTAATAAAACAACTC